TTGGTTCCCACGACTTTCAAGAGGTGTGTGAACTTCGAGACCAGTTGAAAGCTTTACTGCAGTCCGGTGGAATGCATCTCCATAAGTGGTCATCCAACGATGAAAGGCTTCTGTCCTCCATTCCTAGTGAAGACAAAGATCAATATGTTTCAATAGGCGATAGTGGAATCAACGAGGTCATCAAGACATTGGGATTGATGTGGAATCCATCAACTGACGAATTTTTGTTTCGATCACAGTCTCCAAATAGAATCTCCAGACCCACAAAGAGACAAGTTTTGTCTGAAATCGCCAAGATTTTTGATCCCCTCGGTCTCATTTCTCCGGTGGTGGTAGTAGCTAAAATCCTAATGCAAAATGTGTGGATCAGCAAGCTGAAATGGGACAATCCGTTGGACGAGATCCTCATGGAACAGTGGGAGAACTTTTTGACATCGTTGCCGACTTCTGAGCAAATTCGCATCCCACGTCAAGTGCTATCAAGCGGAGCGGTCTACTACGAGCTACATGGGTTTGCGGATGCCTCGCAAAAGGCCTACGGTGCTTGCGTGTATGTCAGGTCAATCTTGTCAAATGGCAGAGCATCAATGAGATTGGTCAGTGCGAAGTCTAAAATTGCACCTATCACGCCATTGACTATTACGAGAAAGGAGTTACTTGCAGCTCTTCTTCTAACGAGACTAGTTACTAAGGTTGAAGAAGCTTTAGAGATGAACTTCAAGTCAACAATCCTCTGGTCCGATAGTCAGGTTGTACTGGCATGGTTACGCAGACCACTTACCAGCCTACAGGTATTTGTTCAGCACAGAGTTGCCAAGATTACGTCCAACAGCCATTTTGTTTGGAAATACGTTCGCACTGACCAGAATCCAGCGGATACTGTGTCACGAGGACAATCTGCCAAGGAGTAAGCTGGAAACAATGTTTGGTGGAATGGACCACACTTTTTACGCACCGTCGACTACATGGAAGAGAAGATAGCTACACTGAATGAGTGCGAAATTCCTGAGCTAAGAAATCAATTGTCCGCATTACCGGTGATGAACTACGACGAGTTTCCATTGTTGACGAAGTTTAATTCATTTAGAAAGTCTCAACGAATCGTGGCATACCTGTTACGCTTCATAACAAACGCTAGAAAGAAGAAGGAAGATCGGCTGCTATCTCCGCACCTCACCATATCGGAGCTTCGGACGGCATCGAATTTGATCGTAGGAGCTGTTCAGCACCAGGAGTTTGCCAAAGAAATCGAGTGTATTAGGTCGGGAGAATCCAATCATCGTCTAAACAACTTGAGGCCGTTTCTAGACAATGATTTGCTGAGGGTGGGCGGTCGAATCAGCCAGTCCCAACTACCATTTGAAGTGAAACATCAGCTGATATTACCTGACAAAAGTCCCGTAGTTCGTGGTTTAATTGCTGATATCCACCGAGAAAGCCTACATGCCGGATGCAGTAGCGTTCAATATGCTATGAGACAACAGTTCTGGTTGATTAATGCGAGATCTACAATCAGAAAGGTGTTACGAGGCTGTGTCACTTGCTTTAGGGCAAAACCTACTACAATTGATCAACAGATGGGAGATTTACCGTTCTACCGCATTTCCCCGGCCAAAGCCTTCGAGAGAGTCGGACTTGATTTTGCGGGCCCGATTTATGTCAAGCAGTCAGTGCGGAAGGCTACTCCAGTGAAGGTAACGAAGGCCATACATTTGGAAGCTGTGGAAGATTTGTCTGCTGATTCGTTTCTGGCTGCATTTCAGCGCTTTGTGTCCAGACGAGGATTTCCGGAAAAAGTGTTCAGCGATAATGGAACGAATTTCATCGGAGCCAGGTCTGCGCTGCGGGATCTGTATCGACTCTTCAAGGAGGAAACTACCCAAAATAAGATTTTTTAGTATTGTCAAGCAAAGCAGATCGACTGGAATACGATCCCACCAAATGCACCACATTTCGGTGGTCTTTGGGAGGCTGGAGTAAAGAGCGTGAAGGCAGTGCTGAAGAAGGTTTACCAAACTCCATCAATCCATGGTGAAGTATTGAACATCAATAACTGGTAAAAATTGATAGAATATTACAGTCATCAACATGATTTGTTCTCGAATTCTGTGTACATCGTACAACGTAATATTAGGAACGGAATTACTAATGTGCAGCAGTTTTGATGTACTATTCAACAACTTTTTTTTTCTGTATTTGTCAGACGTGGTATGTGTCTCCAGTGGATGCCTTGACCACTTATCATTTTCAAGAGCTGACATCTACTAACTAGACGTGAAAAATAACTGGCATCACTGATAAGTTCGAAATGTGGTGGCTTGCTCAATGCTTCAGTGGCGCCACCATGACAAATGCAAGCACATTCCCAACTAAAAGATTATTTGCGATGAATGTGATTGTGAGAGTTATGTCTGTTTGTTTGTGGTAAGGGTAATGCCATAGGTAGCTCTAAGACCAGAAGGTCCCTAATAAATGTGCTCAACTTTTTGGCTCAGCTGTTGTGCTATCTTCGGTCCCAAGCTAATCGATTCACACCTCGAAACATAGGAAAATCAACTAACCCCTTATTTTATCTGTCAAACTTTCATAGCGAATCAAAACAAACATAGTGTAGTACCAAGGGGTTGGTCACTCTACACAGTGTGCCAAAATCAAACTTGGGCACCCCCGGGCGTCGTCATTGACGCTGTTTGGCACCCATGGTTACAATTTTTATGATCTTTAAAGTTACTGGCAACACTGAACTTTTTCTGCGCCAGTGTGCATGTGTCAAAATTTGTTATTGATGTTGCCACAATATAATCAAATTATTTTCAAAACAACCGTGAATCTTCACCAAGTCTCGCCATGGATTCTCAAAATCGTTACACCCGTGACGGCAGTCGCATCCACATTTCCTCCCAGACGAAGAACAGATGACAGCGGTATCTTGACCTGACCGAGGTTTTTGGCCATGGCTACACGAACTAGCGATGCAGCTCTCACGGCTGCGGCTGCTTCCAATTCTGCTGCTGGTCTGTCTTTTTTTTAATGAATTTTAGAGGAGACGGACCAGCAGAAGGAACAGCAGCAGCAGCAACTAAAGCAGAAGCAGTATAGGAAGCAGACGCAGCCGTGGGAGCTGAATCGCTTATTCGTGTAGCTGTGGCCGACGCTGGAAATCTCGGGCCGGTCACGACAAGCCGTGCTTGAGTTTTAATCGGAAAGTCAACCAAACAAAAACTATACCATCCGACCATTCGAACTGCTCGAATACATTCATCGCCACCGCTACTACACCACCAGCACTTCATGATGGCGTTCACTCGACCAATCAGGAGGAGGAAATTTCCGATATCAGCGGGAACATTCACACTTGCGACGGGCGGCAGTCCTTGGGGGTGAATGCAGTCAGCAGCAGATCCTCGGACGGCATACGGGTGGGGTATTGAAGAAGTGGAGAATGTGATTTTTGCTGGCCTGGGAAGTGATTGTTCTTGGAGGCGTTGTAGACCTTGAAGCTGATCGAATTGTGCGTAGGGTGTACGTTCGACTGGTTCGACTGCGATGGCGTTCCCATCTAGATCATGGCGGCACCCTCTTTGGTCTTCAGGAACTTTATTCTGACAACATTTCCATACAGGAAGGACAGATTGAACAGCTTATCTGTTGGCTGTGTTGTTATCGAGACTGTAGACCATCATCACTGCGCCCTGTTGCTGTGCGGGTTGAATGAAGTTGACTGGTCCGTTTCGGATCAGCGGTCCGTCCTTCATCAGTCCGACGTGTGTTCCAGCCGGTGTTGGTTTCCAGTTCTCCGACGGATGATACTCGGGCGGTGACAAATTCGGTGCAAATCCTCCGCCGGCTCCCAGAAGGACTGGTTGACTAATGATTGACGCTCGTTGTGCGGGGTCGGCCTACCGCCGAAGATGGATGTTTTTGAAAACATTGAAAATCAAAACAAAAACAAGAGCTGTTAAAATACCGGGTTGCCAAACAAGGCATTATTCACAAGCAAACAAAAGTCAGTTCAATTACTTCTTCTACTTCATGGCACTGCCGATACAGCTGCGGCACACTGAGGTACACTGAGAAAAATTTTGGCGCAAATTAAGTGTGTAGAGTGACCACCCCTTGTGTAGTACTAGAATTTCTACTAGAATGGGGTACGTTAATAGATTCGCTTGGGACCAATAGGCTAGTCAAGTAGTGAGTCAATTTAAAATCGTTCGTTTCCACCGGTTGGTATTATCGTTAAATGATTTATTAAGAAGTTTGGTATACACATTATGAAAATATCTATAAAAATCGACTTTAGTGCACTCGATGGGCAATTTTGGTTTTGTGAGCGTTCCGTAGACCATGATTTAAGCTTGAAGAATCCTATAAAACTCATACAAAGCTTGCAGTGTTACTTGGGATGTTTGGTTCCGGGCTCCCATAAAGGTAAATACTGTAATGATTGAACTTCATCGAAATTAAATAATACAATGTGTGTTGCGTGCTGTGGCCTTTCATTTAAGGTGAATCACGTGGATTTTTCAGATATATGGCAGTAACATCACCATTGACGTTAACTGCCAGTCAGATAGTTGCGACAACTCTGTTCGATTAATGGCTCAGATTTGACAGGAATGGGCTTTAAATCACTCTCCTATTGTCCCAGTTTCTATTGAATAATCACCTTTTTTACTTGAAACGAGTATTTTCACATAAATCACAGTAACCGAACGCCGTTTGGTCACGCACCGTTTTCGGCATCGCCACCGTTATCGCACCTGTTTGCTTTGACCTAAGCGTAGTTAGTTGCACATTATCAGCTCAAATTCCACCGTAACCGCGTGAGTAATGTTTACCTTTTTTCGTAGCGCAACTATCAAAACACACACACACACCCACAACCACTGATAACACGTTAGTCGTCGCCGTCGCCATTGATATAGAACACAGTCATAATTTTCACTTTCGTTTCGCAACCCACATAGGCTACAAAATTGCACGAATCCGATAAAACTTACCTCGATTTCATTGTTTTCGAACCACTCGTTGCAGTAATAGCACGACGCTTTGTTAAACTTGACCGTTGTCGATTTGGCTGACATTTGTATGGGTTTAAAAAAGGAAAAAACGAAAAACAATATCCACCACGATAGGTGGGTGAGAACTTGCCCTGCTTAAATAAGTCGAGCTTCTGCAGAGTAGCAGAAGCAACAGCAGTAGGCGGTGTCGTTTGGCCGTCTTATCATCATTTGCGCGGCGCTTGTTCGGCCTTTTCCGAGATAAGCAAACGCAGGGCTGTCATCGGGTGTGAACGAAAAATGCCGGCTAAAATCTGACACATTTCCTTTACCAACATTTCAATACAGCAACTACGGAGTCAACATTCAATACTGTTTCGGTTTGCTTCATTTCTAATGAATATTGTCGTATTCACAATCTTTGTTTTTGGTTTCGATATTATTTTTTTCTGCTTTCTTTGACAGATTTGGTCAAAATACAGACACCATTTATATATACTACTGATAGCAACTCTCGGTGTGGTTTTCCGTTTTCCAAAAATAAACCAAATTGAAACATCAAATTGTTCATAACAATTCCAAATGTCTAACCAACTGCGGACTAGATTCCCTAGCGCTTCGTATAAAAATATCATTCATCGTCAACATTTGCCTAATTCGTGCCTTGAGAGATTCGAACAAGTCGGTACAAAAAAACTACGCTTCGCTTTCTAACACCTGCAGCCGGAACCCTTCTGCTGACCGTCCTGGCCATCCAACTTGACCGGGGGGTTCTTTGTGTCGACAAATAGCATCGGAACGCCCCTCCGGGCCTGGATCGTCGAGCTGAGCACGATGGTTTCAATCCGTTTCATAACCTTATCCAGCAGCAGCTCGACGGCCGCATTGACGTTATGGCCGGTGAAGGCGCTCGTCTCAATGTAGTCGATACAGTACTTGTCGGCCAGGCACTGTGCCCTCGTTTCGCTCACCACCCGCTTGTGATTCAAGTCGGCCTTGTTGCCGCACAGCACTATGTCCGGATCTTCGCAGTAGGCGTGCTGCTTCAGCTGTTCCATCCAGTTCTGCACATCAAGGAAGCTCTGCTCGTTCGTGATGTCGAATATCAGGATGAAACCCATCGAGTCCCGGTAGAAGGCCGTGGTCAGGCTGCGGAAGCGCTCCTGCCCGGCCGTGTCCCACAGCTGCAGGTGTATCCGATGGTTGATGCCGTTCGAGTTGTACAGCTGGGAAATTTTAAGCGGAGAAATCATTCAAACGTTTACCATGAGTAGAAGGATAAACTTACGACACGTTTCTCGCGAAAGTCAATCCCGACGGTTGAGATGAACTTGGTGTGGAAGACGCCATCTGTGTACTGGTAGAGGAAGCTCGTTTTGCCGACGCCTGAATCGCCGATGGTTAGGAATTTGATAAGATAATCGTAATCTATCGCTGTCGTCATGCTGATAAACGCTGCCGACCGCTGATGAACACCGCCCTCCTGCAGGATAAACGGAAACGGAAGAGAGGGGAGGAAAGATGCTAGTGTGTAATGAAATCGACTACAACGTAATATTTCAGATGACATGCATGTGGTTATGGCTTGAGATGGGAAGGGAAGTTCGTGCTGACTGGCTAAAGCTAAAACCCATGTTAAATAGTTAATGAACAGAATGCCATGATGGTTCTCTCCTTCCTCATCGTACGCTTGGCCGTTCAGAAGCGAGAATACCACATTGAGAAAGTCGTGCAAGGAAATTAACAGATTGTTATCGTTCCATGCTTTCATGACCTGCTGTTGCTTTTGGCATTGATAGACGCTTCGAGGAATCAAGCATACCTATATCGATCGAATGGAAAATTTCATCAACATACCGTAATTCGCTTGGCCGTAGACTGATCCAACAGCAACAACCGTAGGACAATCGTGTCCAATTTAGACATAAAGCAACCCACTCTGACCAAACAATTAAAATCATCCCACGAGAATTATTCCGGAAATCATCCATCCGAACCATCGCAGCAAGCCATGTTGCACACGTGTGACGGCTCTATTTTTGTCACCGTTTGCTACGATGAATTTATCATTATTTAAAATGCGAAAATGGAAACCACCAGAGCACAGACACACTTCGGCAAACAATCCCTGAAGGATATTCCCCCATGACAGCACCGCCCTCTGCCGCTTCGTACGTTCAAATAAAACTCAATTAGCGAAATGATGTTAGGGCGGTCGGTCGGTCGGTTGGTCGGTTGCTTGTGGTAAACGCGGGAAAAGTTGCAGTGAGCGAGTTGGGTAGTCGCATCGCGGTTTCAGGTACCCACTCGGCCTCGTGCAACTGAAGGACGATAGAGATTCAAACTCACTTGTTCGCAACTCTGCAACTTTGCAAACTGCAAAAAAACTAGTGGGACGGGAACGGGAAGCGGTCCATTTTTAGTTTTTATTTATATCTGTCTGTAACCGCATGCTTGTAAGGTTTGACTAATGATGTCTCAAATTCACGGTTGGAAATACTGATTTTAATGCAGTTTTGATTTATTAAATAACGGTGAATTTCTGATTCGAGTCGCAACGCTTTAGTGGAAAAAAAACTTACCTAAGGACATTTTCAAAACCCATCACTATCTTGCTAGCAATTGCGATTAAGACCATATTTACGGAGATGAACGCGATTTAAAAGTTTGGAAAACCCACCAGCCGACAAAAGGATTAGGTAATACAGTACATTCCCAATTTTGTCAGCTTTTTTTTCCCGATTTTGTCAGCAGATTTCACTAAATTTTTGAGTTTTTAAACATGGATTCTCAAAATCCACGCTATGAATAATTGTTATTCTTACACTTCCCTGTAATGTGATTGATATGTGAAGCGGGGGTGAAATGTGCATACGGGGTAAAATTAACAATTGTAAAAAAAAACATTGCTTCATTGTCAGCAACATTTATTCTTAGAAAATAAAAAAGAGCATTACATATTTCATTGAATTGTACATACAAGTTTTGATTGACTTTCAATTTTCAAAAGATTTCGTCATCGCAAATTCTTGAGTGCGCAGTAGGCTCTGCCCGCAAACGGTCGGTTTTAATTTCGCTGTCACAAATTCCTTGTTTTCCGCGTGCTTTTGGGCTTGTACCAAGGCAAGAAGTTTTTGATTATTATCATGTGTATATAGATTCATCATGATTAGTTTATCAGTGTTTTAATATTGTGAATTATTGTGAAAATTCCCGGGCAAGAATTTTGTTTGAATAGTTGTGTTGTAGCGTCGTGCTAGCGTGTTTCGGTGCTACGCCTCCACTCCCGGAAGCAACGTTTGCCGTGTCTTTTTACGTATTTGGTATTGGCGTTCTGCCTCCTGGACAATAACAATGTGCCGCTGCACAAGAACATCATAGCCACGGTTAAAATCAAGGACTTACGGCTCCAATTGCTTCCGCAGGTTACTTTTCACCCCACCTAGTATAGTTGTAAAAAATAGTAACTAAAAAGTGACCTAAGAGAGGAAAAGCAGTCATTATGATAGCACACCATATAAATGTTTGACTTATTCAATTAGTTCCTCATAAACACCTATGTACGATACGAACCTTTAAAGCAAAAGATTCAATAGCAAGTTTATGGCCAAACCCACGGTATTAGTAAGGGTGTCTACTAACTGCAAAAATTTGGAAATTTTAATTTGCCTTAAAATACCTGGAAGTCTCAGAGAATTTAATAACTTTCTTACTAAGGATATTTTAAAGAAAAGAATACATTTTAAAATACAAGCATTCAATTTTTCTCGTGATTTTCATTCACATATTGAACTTAATAGATCCACAGTGGATTAATCTTCAGTAACAAAAAAATTAAAAAAAAAACAGAGGCTTAAAATGTGTTCTTTTTTGGTTTTTGTTCATGCTTCTTTCCTAGAAATTTCATATTTGAACTATTTCTGGACTTAAAAGCTATTATACTTCAAACATTTTTCAAGAATCTGGTGCCAAATTTCATGCACAGTTTTAAAGGCTCGTGGAATTTTATTCTAATCTCTAAGGCCCTCATTCCAAGAGAGTTCTGGGAAAAAAAATCTTTCATAAAAACAACAAATGCAATCTGCTTTCAAGGTAGTTCTGAGGAATTTTAGATTTCATATGAAGCTTGATAGTTTTGTTTTGTTAATAACTTTTAAGTAAATGATGGATTAGGATCATGGCTCACTATAGATATGCAAGGAGTAGATAAATCTTAACATTTCAATTAACACCAATGAATTTTTACACTTATCGTTTGCATTTAAAAAAATGGACAAAAATTGTAGATTTTTCATGGGTTTACCTTCACCCGCACTGACGAAACTACCCATGCAGCACCAATCATAGTAACCCATGAGTCAGCAGACAAAATTTGACAGCTCTATCAGTCGAACTCTAACTGTGATGGCAAAAACAGTGAAGCAACTCCGTTCAGAAGTGTGCGCGTTCAAAGAACGGCACCCCGCCGCGTCGAAAACGGACATCGTGCGGCACTTTATGGACGCCGGCTACGCCCGTTCCGGCATCTACAACATCTTGGCACTATTAGACAACAATCAGAGCATCGATAGAAAACCCAGTTCCGGACGGCCGACGACCCTGAGCGACAAGAAACTCCAAAGGATGTTGAAGAGGAAGACCGAAGGAAAAGTGGCTACATCGCTGCGTGCGCTTGGCCGGGAGGTCGGTGCAACCGGTCAAACAGTGAACATGAACATACATGTCAGGAAGTGGAAGTCACGTCCACTGGTTTCAGAGCTGCAGGCAATGACGCAGCGGCAGCGGCTGAATAAGATGGTCAACTCGTTTTTCCCGGCGAATCGCGACGTGGCGGTGGTGATGGACGACGAGACCTATCTTACCCTGGATGGCAACGACTGGCAGGGCACTTCGTATTTTACTTCGTAGTTCCCCAAGAAGGTGCTGCTGTGGCTGACAATCAGCGAGAAGGGGATGTCAAAGCGGCTCTTCTTTCGCTCTGGACTGGTCGTGAACGGGGAAATTTATAGTACGAAATGCCTGCCGGAAGTTGCGTCGTTCATCAAGAAATACCATAAGGGTAGAGACGCGGTGTTCTGACCGGATCTGGCGTCGGCCCACTACTTGAAGTGATC